AAATTTAAGTACTTGCTAATAATTGTAACGAAGTTAGGCAAATTCCGAAACTACCACGAAAATAATAATCACTTGTCTGATTTTTGCTTCCAGCATGTACCTACTTAATTCTACGATTCATATTATATGTATATGAATTTTGTATTGGCGCTAAACCATTTTGATTATTGCCGTTAATCCGCACAAAATTATGCATAAATAACAATACATTGGGATAAAATGCAAAAAGCGACCATTATATAGTAAAACAGTTTTGTTATTTATAACAATATTAATTTTTCGTATCTGTCGCTCTATCCATATACTGATTAACTTTAATGAAAACAAGTTTATCGTTTTATCGCACCACAAGCGGTTTTTAGCGAAATAATGGCCCGAATTATGTTGTTCGCGCTTCGAAAACGCCCTCGTTTTTTTCACGTGACGTCAGATAAACTGAGGTCAAACGAGCTCGCTTCCGTTGTTGTTGTCGGCGAAATTTCCCGCTCCTCGGTGCCGCGTTAGCAAGACGAAGACACCAGCATCCCTCACAGACCCCCTAAATATTTCAACGTCCATCTGCATAATGCATAGCGTACTCTACACAGATTATAACATGTATTATTCAGAGCTATGTCTCAAATTCAGAGATCTGGCCACAAACAACTAGTATAAATGCATCCGTTGGGCCCTGTTTCAACGGAATCCTTTTAGCCGTAGATGGATTACCCCCGTACCTGACGCTAAGGTCGAGCTCGACAAACAGTCTTGTGTTAGCTGAAGTCGGGACTAAGAAGCGGGCCGAGGTTTGGCTGGGGAAACGTATGATTAATTATTATGCAAATTTCTAGAAGAATTAATTGCATTTACAATTGTAAGTGCTCGGAAATTTGAATTACGCGAGTTTTGATTCGTCGGTTTACATACGAGAATTTCGTTTCGAGGAGACAGAGTGAAGGCCGACGAAAATGAATATTGATGAGCGCGAAAACGAGGATCTTCGACACGTCGTGAGGAGCGGAACGGGACAAGTTTTAAATCCGGCGGTTTTGTTTGTTTGAGGAGTTTAACGAACTCGGCTTAATTCTGTTATCGGAGTTTTAAAAAGGTCCGTACTTGTTGAATGTGTTCATATTTTACGATAGCAAAAACCCGTACTTTTTCGAAAAAATTACATTTTGGAAACAATAACCACCTGCTCTAGTTTAAGTAAGACGTCTTTTTGGGTCCGGCCGCCCTAAATATCAAGTCTTAGCGAACCCTGTCACCGCAGCGACATTCGCCACTTAGCCCGTCCCTTCCCGGTCCCAAAAGTCGAAAATTTGCAGCCCCGTCCGCCTCAAGATTACGACGAGCCCTTTCAAAACAAATTCCCCATTTAACGAACCGCGTAACAAAGAATTTGGGTTAAGAAGATGAAAGACAGTATTAATTCGGAAAATAATACGCAATCTACAAGCAGAGGCAACAAAATCTTGTTACTTTACGGAATCGATTCATCCTCGTTAAGTCGGTGCAGCAGTTGTATCCCGAATAGATTTATCGTCAAAATTTGTTTGTTTGTAAAGGGATTGTAAATTCCTCGGATCGTCAAAGGGCTGATAAATCGCGCCATATAATCTAATGCGTTGTACAGTTTTTAGTTAGCCGTTTCGAGCGACCTGTCCGGGCGAGCAAATCCGAAGAAATGTTGCGTGATGAAACGTTCTTGCCTGTGACAGCGTAATTAAAGTTTATATTATCTTTTGTGATTAAACGAAATAAAATTCCAGCGGGGTAAAATAAAAACATAATTTCAATCTTTCATTTCCACGCCTTCAAAGCGGCCGAGCCTTTGTTGTAGCCGCTGGAGTAACATGTGCCGGAGTCGTACACGTATGATGGCGGCATTAAACTTTAGATTATGTTTAACAACTTCGGGGTTTACAGTGCAGGTGTTAACGAGACTTATCTAAGTTTAAATTAATTTTTATTAATAATGAAGTGCGCTGTGCGGGTTTAGCTGGCGTTGGGGATTTAGGGGCCACGAGAAGTACCATAATAGGGCCATTTGCGGTAATACGTTCCATTTCAACACTTAAAACGGGGTGCGGAGAACTAGATGAAAAATTTGGATGATTTTGGTACGTTCACACGGATCGTTGCACTACTACTTAGTTGAACAAAGAACATGTTCAGATGACAAGACACAATTAACGGTCTCTAATTTTTATCAGTTTTCCAAGTAAATTCGTTCCATTTTCTGACGACCTCTCCCATCCTGAAAAGAGATTTTTTCCTTGTGCGTATCATCTTCTTGCCACGTTTTCTTATCGCTTCGGCGGCAAATGTTATAATTTACAGTTCCACGTTTCTGTCATCTGCACCACAGGACTTAAACTAATACTGTTACGAGTTCCTTCAAAAACATAACATGGGTTGACACATTCGTGGCCTTTCTGAAGGCCGATGGAATCCCAAGATTTGGCGGTCGACAGTCCGGAATGTTAGATTAAACAGTAAATTAATTAAAACAGAGGCACGAAAACTGGCGACTGATGGATTTTTTTCCGACCAGTTGAGCGTTTTGACATATCAAAATAAATAAAACAAATCAGTCTCTGTGCACATTTATAACCGAAATTCGTCGACGTTATTAAGAGTAATTCCATTAATGCACTGAATTCGAAATGAGCTGCGATTTTATTGCAACTGTTCCAATTTTTTATTTACATTTGATGTGGTGAGTAAATAACGCAAACTGAAAGCTATAAAATGCAGATGCTATCGGGTTCATAAAAAATACAAAATAACCGGATATGAAAGCGGCATTTTTTATTTACATCACTTTTGAGGTTTTCCCGGTCGGGTTTGTTTGACTTGTTTTATGGTGAATGTATCAAAGTTGAATTTTCGTCGGTTGCATGTGCATTAACATGCGATTAAATTTACGACGATTTTAATTCGGGCGTCGCAACTTTCCGAATCTGGAGCTTATAAGTTCGCCGGAAATTGTAAAAGTCTTTAAGACCGTCGTAAAATCGTTCACTTTAGTACTTTAAATCAAGAGCGTCATTTTCGAATTAATTGACGCCGAGTCGAGACGTTTCGGCGTAAATCTTCTTCAGTGCGTGTGTCTTGCAAACAAGTCGTTTGCAGTAATAAGGTTTAGATTTTTTAATTAAATGGAGCCGTGCCAGCACAGTAAAAAGGAGGCGAATTCCGCCCGGTTTGACGCCAAAGGCAGCTCTCGCGCCGAATAATTGCATTTTACAAATCTAGAAAATAGCTTGATACATTTCACTTTTCGCGATTTTGCCGAGATAATAGAACCGAACCTCCTTTTGTCCCCAATTCCGAATTAAAATTTTAAATTCGCGTTCGCTTTTGACCTTTTTGGCATGAATATTCACGCTCGATAAGATGCTCCGGTTACTTCCAATTCCATTAATTACTTCTCTGCCTTCACTTTCACGTGGCGTGGGAAAAGTAATAACGGGAAAAAAGTTCCCGAAAACGCTCCCGATTTCCCTAAATAAAATGATAAACGATATACGTCATAAATGACAAAAAATACAAATTAAGAGAAAAGAATCCGCCCGAGGAATATTACGGCCGACTTTCCCTACGTAAAAGTTTTTAAAATAAATACGAGGATAAAGTTTTCGAGATAGATGGCTGCGAAGTTTTATCTGGATCGGGGCTTCGGCGGACTCTTGACTGAAGGTCCTGCTGGAAATCCTGCCGGATTGACGTGCAGCAGGAATTTGACGGCAGGAAAACGACGGGAAAATGAAAAAGTGACCTCGTTGTAACAAGGAAAGTGTTGTTGCGACAAGGAAAAACTGACCCGGAAAAGGTCATTAAACTATCATTAAACAGCACGTGAAAGAATATGATAATTTTTTCGACTAAATAGTGCATTATTTTGTGAGTAAAGCAAGGCGCAAGCGATCTCATTTTTTAGGATGACGTCATCAGATTTCTTCAATATTGCTATTTCTTATGCTTATTCAATGGGATTCATTTAATAAACTATTTTGCAATTTGCTTAATAATACTTGAAGAAGCACATAAAAACAAGGGACGAAACATCGTTTAAACGTTCTCAAATGACGTCAATAAGAATACAATTTTCGAAATATTCTGTTCGAAAACCACATTTCTTAAAAATCCTAAAAACTGACATTTCAGTTGGCAATTCTGCCAAAATGGTCAAAATTTTCGAAAAACTAAAGCCTAAAATAACTTATAAGGATTGAATTCTTCGAAAAAATGCCTTTAGATAATTTTAAAAGGTAGCAGAAAAATAATCAAAAATTTCACAAACGAGGCAAATCACCTAAAAATCCATAAAAAATTCAATATAGCCTTTCGATGGTCCCTGACCAAAATGTTCTAAATATTCGGAATGAAGGTCAACTTTTTTTTAATTCTAAAATTTCTCACATTTTATTTGAAGATTCTGGGAAAGTGATAGGATTTTTCGACGAAGTGAACCCGAAAATAGCTTCTGAGGATAGAGATCTACACGAAAATGTCTTTCAAATTATGACTAGTCCTTTATTATCTACATAACATGTAATATTTCACAACTGTTAAATCAGTAGTTTTAGAGTCATAAAAGCGTCAGCAGACCACAAAAAATAGAGAGTCGAAACGGAAAAACTACTTTTCCATATTTTAAAATTTACCAAACGTAGAGAAAACATGAAATTACAATACCACCTTATGCTCGCGAAGTGAATAAAATTTGAGCTAGGGAAATTCTGTGGACCAATTTTTTGACGAAAAGTGTCAAAAATTTTGCACACATTTTAAACGTGACGTCCCGAAAATTCTAGAATTTTTAAATGTCCTAAACCATGCACAATTCACTCCATTTCAAAAACCGCCCCCGCTCGGCAAAAACTGCCCCATCCTCCGCCGTCCCCGACGTCGAGCCACAATTTGCCGTCATCTTTATCTGCGCCTTTATTCGGCTCCTGCCTACACTCGGCGACATGGTAATAAGCAAACAGACTTGCCAAGAGGGCCGTTACCCGATGGGAGCGATGGGTCCGGTGGTCGTGGGTCCGCTGGGAAGAACCACAGCACTCTGGTTTAGGACACAGCGATCGCACGAGAGCACGCGCTTGATCGGTCTGGACTGGCCGGAGCCCGGAGCGGCGTGTGATAACCGTGGCGGCGTCCCGGAACCACTGGCTAAAATCTGGCGTCACGACGCTGCTATCGCGCACTCCGTACAACGGCCGCACACCCCGCCGGCGGTTCTCAACAAGTGTATTTTTGGTGGCGGGGGTGGCAGTTTTGGAAAATCTGGGGCGAACGAGGGAGGTTGTTTACTTTTTTTTTGTGTGTGGAGGGAATATTCGGTCGGGGTTGGGGTTCGGTTTTGCGCCGAGAGGAGTTTGAAGTTATCTTTTGGATCTAAATTAAGGACTGCTTGGGGGTTGGTGGGAGGCCTTTGAGAGTTTTTTGTGACAGGTTATGGGCGAAAATTCCGAGATTAGGTGGAGACTGGTGAACGGAAAGGTGAATTTATCGCGGAAATTCGAAGCGGATTGTAAAAATAAAATTCCTTTGTTTGGCGAAAGTGATTTGATAACTGGAAATGTTGGAGGAGAATAGCGGCGGTTAAGTTGAGTTCTTGGGAAAGAAATAAGTGTGAGAGTTCGGCGTTTTAGGGGTGAAAATTAATTTTTTGCAGTTTGGGTTTATTTTTACTTGAGTATTTTTTATTTCCTGAGGTTTTATGACCTCTAGAGTACAAAAAAATAGTTTGATGTGTCTTTCTGTCTGTCTGTTTGACGTTTGTCCGATTTTTTTGTGTTCGACATCCAGATTCTTGGAAAAAAAAATCAAAATAGTATAACACCGAATGCTCTGAAATCTTTTAAGGTTATCGTAATCATGGTAAATCGTAAATCAAAAGTTAACCGTCATTTCCTTTAAAAAAAATTATGACGTCATCTTAAAATTTACTTAAACTTAAAATTTTTCAGTTTTTCAGTTTCTCGACTTTCGAGTTTTTCAGTTTTTTGGTTTACAATTTTTCAGTTTAGTAATTTTTCGATTTTTCAATTTTCCGTTTCTTCAATTTTTCTAGTTCTTGATTTTTAGTTTTATTCTGCCAATTTTTTTATTTACACTGTATCGATTTTATATCACAATTTTTGATTTTTCATTTGCTTTCATTTTTCAGTGTTTCGGTTTCATAATTTTTTGTTTTTCGGCTCTATTTTTTTCAATTCTTACAATGTTTTCAGTTTTTCGTTTCTTCGATTTTTCGTTTTGGAACTCTTCACCATTATAATTTTTCATTTTTTAATTTTACAGTTTCTCAACTTTTTTGTTTTCTCAATTTTTAATGTTCTTGATTTTTATTTTTCATCTTGGCGATTTTTTAAATTTCATTTCCTAGAGTTTATAGCACATTTTTTCGTTTTTTCATTACTTTTATTTTTTGTTTCTTTTGATTTATAATTTTTCTTTTATTCAATTCTCCAAATTTCCAATCTTTGATTTTTCAATTCGTCGATTTTCCAAATTTTAAAATTTCAAAGGTTTGCAATTGTCGGATTTGGCAGTTTTTAATTTTGCAATTTTTCGATTTTTCAATTTTCCGTTTCCTCAATTTTTCAAGTTCTTGATTGTTAGTTTTATTTTGCCGATTTTTAATTTTCAATTTTTTAATTTTTCAGTGTTTTGGTTTCATATTTTTTGATTTTTTCAACTCTAATTTTTTTCAATTTTTCAATTTCTCGAATTCCAAATTTTTGAGTTTTTCGTTTCTTCAGTTTTCGATTTGCAATTTTTCAATATTACAATTTTTCATTTTTTGGTTTTTCAGTTTCCTTGATTTTTCAAGTTCTTGGTTTTTATTTTTTATCACGCCGATTTTTTTATTTTCATTTTCCCAAATTTTTAATTTTTACTTTGTCGATTTAATTTCACAATTTCAACTCTAATTCTTTCAATTTTTCAATTTCTCGACTACCAAGGTGCCAAGTTTTTCAATTTTTTGGTTTGGTATTTTTAATTTTACTATTTTTCGATTTTTCAATTTTTCGGTCCTTTGATTTTTCAAGTTCTGTATTTTTTGTTTTCATTTTCCCGATTTTTTAATTTTCAGTTTGTCGATTTTGTCTCACAATTTTTCGTTTTCTCATTTTCTTTCATTATTCAATTTTTTTCATTTTTCAGTGTTTCGGTTTCATAATTTTTCGTTTGTTCAAGTCTAATTCTATGTTTAAATTTTTCGACTTCCAAATTGTTCAATGTTTCGTTTCTTCAATTATTCAATTTGCACTTTTCTAATTTTGCAATTGTTCTCCATTACAATTTTTCAAGTTCTTCATTTTTATTTTTCATCTTCCCTGTTTTATAATTTTCGTTCTCTCGATTTTATGTCACAATTTTTCGTTTCTTCATTGCTTTTATTTTTTCAATGTTTCTTTCGATTCTATAAGTTTTCGTATACTTATTAAGTTTTCCAAATTTACAACCTGTGAGTTTTCGATTTTCCGAATTTGAAATTTTAAAATTTTGCAGTTTTAGGAATTCCAGTTATTCGATTTTCCGATTTTTTTTAATTTTCACTTTTTTTTTCGCTTTTCCAACTCTTAATCTTTCGATTTTTCAACTTTTCGTTTCTTCAATTTTTTAAATTCTTTTCAATTTCAAATTTTTAGATTTTTCAAGGTTTTCATTTTAATTTTCAGTTTTATAATTTTTCAATTATTTATTTGAAATGGTGGAAAATAAAAAAATTGAAAAGCGGAAAAAACCAAAAATTGCAAATCAAAAAAGTGGAAAATCAAAAAATTGCCAATCAGAAACGAAAAATTAAGAATCGGGAAACTTAAAAAAGTAAAAAATGCTAATTGAAAAACTGGAAAGAAGAGAAAACGAATCAACTCGAAAAATTGGAAAACCGAAAAATTATGGAATCGTCATAATTGTTTGGTCAAAAAACTGTAACAGTGAAGGATCGAGAATCGAAAAATTTAAAATGGAAAAATTGGAAAATCGAATAAATACAAAAGTTCTAAAATCCAATAATTGATTGATGAAAAAATTCCAAAATTGTATAACTGAAAAAGTTGGAAACCGATAATTTCGATAAATGAAGAACTGAAGAGGCGAAAAAGTGGAAAATCTTAAAAACGAGTATTATTACATATTTAAAGTGAAAACTAGAAAAAATGCAAACCAAAAGTAGAAGACACGAAATATTGAAAAATCCAAAAATGGAAAAATTTCACATTGAAACAAGAAAAATTATAAGTTATATATGTATTTTTATTATACATATTTGGGGTTTATAAATCCTTCTTTTTTCAATGTGAAATTTTTCAATTTTTGGATTTGCGAATATCCGATTTTTCGATTCCTTTGATTATCAATACTTCGATTTTACAATTCATATTTGGTTTCTTCAATTTTACATTTTTCCGAACTTGAAGTTTCCCAATATTTAATCTTTAGATTTTTCAACTTATCTATAGATTTTTCAGTTTTCATTTTACACTTTTTCGTTTTTTCATTTTTAATGTTTCAACTTTACAATTTTTCAATTTTTTTTTTTTTGAAAAGTTGGAAAACCAAAAAAATTGAAAAATGGAAAAAACCAAAAATTGTAACATGGAAAAAGTATAAAATCGAAAAATTCCAATCGAACAACTGAAAAAACGAGAAAGTTAAAAAACGAAAAAAGTAATGAAACGCAAAATTGGAAAGAAGAGAAACATAGAGAAATCAAATCCAATAACTGATAAATGTAAAAATTGTGAAATAGTGAAGTTGAACAAGTTAAAAAAATTATAAATCAATAATTTCAATAAATGAAAAGCTGGAGAATTGAAAAATTGAAAAGTCGAATAAATGGAATAGTTTTAAAATCCAATAATTGGAAAATGGAAATGTTCTTAAATCGTAGAAGTGAAAAAGTGAAAAAATAAAAAACCAAAACGAAAAATTGCAAATGGAAAAATAGAAGACATGAAAAATTAAAACATGAAAAGTCATGGAACTATAAATTCAAAAATCACGAATCGAAAAATTGAAAAATTAAAAATTTGAAAATTGGGAAACTATGAAAACTCGAATTATTGCAAATCGCATTTTTTTATAATTCAAGTTCTGCCGAAATAACCTCCGACGAATTTTTTTGAACAACATTCATCTTGAGATGTCTGTGCCGAACAGCCTCTATAGCCCTTCTGATATCTTTTACGTCACACAGACATAACACAGAATCGATAATAGACTTCATATCAGTTTATGTTACGCATGACAGCAAAATTTTCCAATTATGAAATAAATCGAACAGCGATAATTAATGCTGTTAACATTTTACCCCACTCACGTTCCACATATTCGACAAATTTAAATTAACACAAATTTCTCAGATTTTGCTAACCAACCAATAACAAATAATGGTGTTCAAATCCACTTAAACCGCAAAAAATACCGATAACCCTAGCCACGAATATGCGACTTAGCCAATTATCTCTTCAACCGTCCGTCACTCAAAAATCATAATCACCTGCCAAATAATTAAACTAACTTCGCAATAGTTTTGAAACTAAATAACACCCAGTCGCGCCCCCACCCTCTACACATCTCATCTCGGCGCTAAACGTTCAACGTTCAGCTAAACAGCAAACTTTTCCCAAAACAAGCCACCGTAAGTGAGCGCTACATCTGTATAAACGTTTTCAGAAGTGGCGAACTTCACGGAGTCTATACGTCAACGAACTTCGCGGATCGTTAGTTTTAACCACATGTGTTCCTTCATTGCCAGCCATTTTGTATCCGGCCATTTGTCGTTTTATCTCGCCGAAGATATCGAAAACGACCCCTCTTCGTCTACCTGCTGGAATCAGACGCGGTATCGAACTCGTGCTAATTAATCGTGAATAACGCCAAAGTAAGTGCGAGGCTTTGATCAGGCTGCCGGAAATGCGACAATAATTAATAAGGCGGCGGCGGCGGGGGCGGCGACGACGCCGAAACAGGTGATAATCTAGAACAGATACGGGGTCAAAGAAAGCAATTAGCGGGCTCTTTCAAATTCGCAAATAAGTTTTTGTTCGTTCGAAAT